ATTATATAGAAATGATTGTAGTGACCCATAAATCATATCCAAATGATTGTGAGAAGAAAAAGTACACCTTAAAAAAAATAGACGCGCTTCCTAAAGACAATCAAATCAAATTAATTTCTTTGAGTAGTTTTAACATGTGAAAAAATTGCATAAAGATAGAACATTGCAATAGGACACTTTAATATTATATAGCACTTTTTTTTTTAGCCAGCCACGGTATCCGGAGTTATGTCCCGACTAATCCGTTGGTCGACGCACACCTGACAATGGTGGGTGAATCTTTCAACAAGGGCTTTTTGCATCCACAAAGACTCGAACCCGAGACCTTGCTTAAGCGACATCAAGCTGCTATAATACATATATACATAGCGCGGATATATAATGTCCAATAGGTCAAGTACTATATATATCCCGTATATTTTTTTTATTCATTTATATAATTATAAGAATGAATAAGTGACTTAAAATTGTACACTCCGTGCATCGCACGGGCTCTGTACTAGTGTTTGAATATAAACGCCTACGTTAAATTGTGAATTGAGGGACTTAATTAAATGCATGGGACGGTATGAGATTTATTATCACGACTTTGCAATTAAAATAATAATAATTTGACTGTTACCAGATTTGGAAACAGCCAAAAAAGAGGGTCCTTTTTTTGGGAAAGATTCTTTTAGGACTATTAAATTTTTATTTTTATTTATTTATTTTTAATTTTTATTAAACTCCCAATAAAAAAGTCGGCGCAGTCTAATGAAGAAAATTTATGGTTACCCAACTTTCCTACATTTAATTAGAAAGTCCTTCGGTTATGGGTTGTACTTTTACATTTTTGTGGATTTATTTATAGAAATCTTTTTGTTCCGAAAAAAAAAAAAATTAGAAAGCCATTGATGATTTTATGCTCTCATAAAGTCTGAAATAGTTACTGTTAGCCGTGATTAGTTAGTTATAAGAGAATTATGTACATCTATTATGTATAATTAAGTATATATATCTATTTATAAAAAAATAATTAGGTATATCTAATTAGTGTGAATAATTGAAATATGTATAACTATGTAAGATTCTAAGTAAAAACACGTAACACCATTAAATTTAGAATTAATTGAAGTTTTAAAACACCAAATTTGTTACAAAGTTAAAAAAAAAAAAGAAAAATAAAAGAAAAGTGAAGAAAATACGAGATTGTTGGAGAAAATTAAGGAAAGTATGAAGCTCCTGTTCGGTTTTCTTGCTATCGTCTATTGCTGTTTTTTTTTTTAAAAAAATATTATGCAAATATTTACTTATTATTTTATGTGAGTAAGCACAATATTTTCTTTTTCTTTTTTTTTTGTTAAACTTTAAATTTAATGGTGTTATGAATTTTCTTCATTCTGAACTTAATTTGATAGTTTTATAACATTTAAGTCCTGAATTGAGAAAAAAAAATCTCTCAAACCCCGATTTGATAGTTTATCTATCTTTCGGGTCTTGTATTAAAAAAACTCCACTAATTAATGTAATGGTTGTTGATTTTTATGTCATTATAACATAGTTTTTTTAATAAATTCTATTCACTCTACCTATGATTTTCTTCTTCTTATTTTTTTTTTTGGGTTTGAAGAAACTGAAATCAACAAATAAAAATCGTACAGAAAATCAATCCAAGAGCGCTTGGATGAGATGACTTGGGTCTCTTCCAGCTTAACTAGTGGTCTCGAGTTCGAGCCCTGGGAATGCAGCAGTATTAAAACTCTTGAGGGAGAGCTTTGCCGCCCTTGTGGTCCTACCCGACTTGATTCCGAATTAGTCGGTTTTCCTATTGTACCAAAAAAAAAAAAAAAAAAACGTACAGAAAAATCTCAAAAGTAGAATCTGTAGTTGAAATTTGACCGTTGAATAAAATTTGGTGGACGGAGCGGAGCTAAAATCTAAAAAAAGTGCTGATTTGGTGTTTGAAATTAAAACTGTAGGTTTTTTGTGGACAATATGTAGTAGGTACACGCGCCTAATATTTACAAATAAAAGGATTAGAATCTTTACAAAATCAAATAAAATGCTATTCACATTCAACATTTTTTGGAGTAAACTTAGAATAAGAGCTTGTAGAGGATTGCTAAATTAATTAAGAAATTAGTTATTTACCTATATAGCAATTCATTAAATTAAACCTCATAAAATTTTCCACATAAATTTTTCCATACATTAAAACCTAATAAATAAAAACTAATAAATTTTACTCACGGTACTTGCAGTTTCTTCAAATGACCGTTACAATTCAATATTATTATTATTATTATTATTATTATTATTATTATTATTATTACACTATATCCCATTAACGAGAGAATATTGCAATTTATACGTATAAATATAATTTAAATATTATATGTATAAATATAACTTATAATATTTTATGTGTAAAATATAATATATCAGTATCTAATTTATAATTTTAATATTATGTACATATAGATAATTTATAATATTTTATTTATATATGTGCAAATGCACATAAATTATATTCATCAGTCAGGTAGTAATTACTTTTTGCATTATTGTCTTGATTCCTTTGTACTAATTAGGCTCAATTAGGTGAAAAGGTTTAATTAATTAAAATAAATTTTGAAACTTTTTCGTATTATATAATATTAAAGGATAAATTAAGTCTCATTCCCTTTCTAAAATTTTAGCCAATTCAAATAACTTTATGGAGTAAATGATTTAAACTTGTCACTGATTTTTTTTTCCCAAAACGATAGAGGTACTATATTAATAAAATACGCACAACGTGCGAAAAGAAGCAGCCAAAGGCTGAATAGTACAACCGAAGACTGTAAAAACTGAGAGGCAAATCCAAAGATCGCCTAAAGCCTAACCTAGCAACGCTAGAATATCAAAGCTCGCAAACTACACCGACCAACAACACCTACAAAAACTAAAAACTAACAAGGCTCCCAACAGGAGAATACCCGAGTGTCGGCTCCCAATAGGAGAATAAATTTGACACTCAGGCGCGCAGAGGCCAAATGACCCAAACCAAAAAAAAAAGACCCAAGAACAACACTAACACGAAACCAAACAAAACAGAAACAAAAAACTATATAGATATCAAATAGAATATGGTCTTCCCCAGCCAACACACGAGCCCAAAACCAGTAGAGAAAAGTCGGTCCAAGAAGATCCCAAGCCCGAGGAACTGCTACCGAAACTGCGAGACCGCCTATACAGCAACCGAACCAGAACTCTGAAACCATCTCAAATCAACCCACCACCAACCGAGAGAACAAGACCCTCCCCCAACACCAACACAACCCAACTTCTCCTAACACCACTAGCAGAAATCGGGTGCACCGGGCCCCACCTGTCCCCAACACCAGAAGACCGGAAGGAGGGAGAGCAGCCCGACCCTACAACCCCAGCAAACTCGACATCGGGTGTCTCGTCCATCAGGGTCCCGCCCCGTCCACAGACCCTCGCGTCACCCAACCTCACCACCGACCGCCGGAAACAAGACCCCATCGCTGCCACCAGAAGCACCCACAGCAGGGGCGACCAAAGGGTCTCTATCGCAGACAATAGGAAAATCGAGGGACAATACCACTCCAATCGAAGATCCGCCGGCGAGATAGAGCCTTCGGACTTAGATCGAGGGCCCACTACCCCAATCGGAATCTCGCAGACGACCGAGGACGGCGAGTCCATCTCCAACAGTTGCAGCAAAGCGGGAAGGTGCGACATCAAGGACGGAGCGAGCGGTCGGCGGCGACTACAGGCTTCAGCCTCGCCGTCGACGAGGAGGCCGGATTAGCGCGATTTTTAGGTCTACAAGGGTTTCGAAAATTCGCCGAGAGAGAAGGGTTTTTTCACCTTTTCTTCAAACTTTAACTTGTCACTGATTCAAATGCCCAAACGTTTATATATATATACTACCTCATATTTTTTAAATATGTCGTTTTGAGAAGTTGCACACTAATTAAGAATATTTTTTTTCAATAATAACCTTATTTAATGAAAATATAGATGAATATTTTGAGAAAAGATGAAGAGTGAACATGAAAAAGCGTAATGTATTTATTAGCTAAATGAGGGTAATAATAAAAAAATATGTAAAAAAATTTAAAGCGACATTTATTTAATTAATAATTGATAAAGCTAAAATGACATTTAAAAAAAAAATAAGAGAGAGTATAAAATAACAAAACTATAAAATAGTAATACGAACCGTATTTCACTTTTCTTGACTCAGTTGACCCTGAAGCGTGATCTTCATATCACCTTTTTTCTTTTTTCTTTTTTCTTTTAAGTATATATTTTTATTTCTCGAATAAAATTATTAATGCATATTTATTTATATAGTCAAATGTTCATGATGAAAGTCAATAATATTAAGAC